GAACTTGCTGCAGCCGATAAGAACGAGGCTGTCTGCAACCTCCCAGAGGGTCTTCTCGGCAACCGCTCCCAGACTATGGAATGGCCTGCTGGACAAGATCTGTCAGATTATGATCTTAAGCAGCTTTTAAAAAGCTTTGAAGATGGATCTCTTCCGGCAGGCCTTTTCAGACTAGGTTTCCTAGCCTCAGGAGTTTGCCTATCCTCTCTTCCCCAAGTTCTGCTACAGTTGCTGCAAGTGTTTATTACTGTTTGTCTTGAAGAGTTTATTTTAAACATGTTTTAATGCATATCTCTGTTTAATACTTTTTTAGGGGTGGGTGGGTCCTGGGAATGTTGGGTTGCTTTTATATTTTATTGTATTTAATTGTATGTACTTTTAATCCTGTATGCTGCCCCAATTGCTCTGCAGAGGGGCGGGATATAAATTATTATTATTATTATTATTATTATTATTATTATTATTATTATTATTATTATTATTATTTACTATTGTTATTGCTGTAATGTAGAGGAAGGGGTAAATAATGCTGAAATGACTGTTCATCTTCATTTGTGGATTTACAACGAGGGGGAACAAGTGCATAGATGCCAAGAAACTACTTCCCCCTGGCCTTCCAGTGCCCCCCCCAAGAAATCCAAATGCCTCTGTTTTCCTCTGTAGCCCCTCTCAAAATGGTGACAGGAAGGGATCATCATTTCCTGTCACCATTCTGAGAGGGGTTGAGAGGGAAATGGGGGGCTTCAGGGCACTGTAAAGAATTTTGGGGTGTTTTTATATAACTTGTGGGGATCTGACAATTGCGTCAATTTTATATATGGGGCCTTGTGGCCTTGAGGGACTGATGGGGAGTTTCAGGGGCCACAAAAATAGGATCGGGGAAACACATGCAGTCCATGAGCCATATTATACCCATCCCTGATTTTAAATGTAATTACAGATCATGCAGTTCAAAATGTAGAGAGTCCTTACTTTGCTGCATCACAAAGTACAAATAACTTAAGAAGGGTTTATCAGGGTCTGAATTACTGTCCTGGGTTTTGCAATTTTATACATTCAGAGAAAAATGTACATCCTAGGCAGATCCCTTGTCTATAGAGTTCAAGAGCCCCCAGACCGTTTGTACTGAACTTCTCACTTATGTTGTTAAGACTGTCAAGGCCAGAAAGTAGAGCATTTTTTATGATCCAGTTTTCCACAATTAAATTAATATACACAGAGATAATAATACATCTTCCATCTGTTTTTTCCCCAAAAGTCAATACATTTTGTTTTCTCTGGACTATTGCTCCTGTTCAGTTCACTGGAGTTCTG